ATGGTGCAAAGACTGATTGCTCCCCACCCCCCCACCATCTTTAGTGCTAAATAACCTTTCAAGAATCACTTGGCTCTGCCTAACCTCTAGGAATAACGTTGAAGCAGCTCAGAACAGACAACCATGTGTAGAACAGGCAAAAAGCTGGAAAGGCAGCTTTAGTGAGCTTGTCAGTTGATGCCAGGTGCTCAATTTGGACAGCAGTAGCAGTCAAGGAGCCGGTGAAGCTGCAGTTAAGAAAACAAGAGTCCAGCAAGTGTTGGGATGGTCAGTATTGAAGGTAAGCGATGAGACAAATCTGACCTTTTCCACTGTACAAAGTGGTACAAACTTTTTTTAAACAATTATACTCTTGATTTTTAAAATCAAGACACTTCCGAGAGTATCTAGTTTATGTTTTTCCTTTTGTTAGAATGCAATAGGTAGGTACATTTCTGTTGGCTACTGAGAAAACTGAAATACGTGAGAAATGATTGATGAATAAGTGTGACAGAGAGAGACAAATGGTTCTTTAACCAGACAATACTGTTAGTTTCTGATGTTTTGGCTCAACTTTAAGCATTGTTATTGCAGCATATTTTGAAATAAATTCATATAATCTTTAAAAGGAGATTTATTAACATGGTAAAAACCAAAAGAACTGTGGATGCTGTAAATCAGGAACAAAAACAAAGTTGCTGGAAAAGCTCAGCAGGTCTAGCAGCATCTGCCAGAAAATAGAGTTAACGTTTCAGGGCCGGTGACCCTTCCTCAGAACCTCAGTTTATTAACATGGTATCTGGCAATAGGAAGGTCAAAGAATACATTTTGAACTGTTCGGGCAAGCCCTATGTGGAAATCTGACTGGCTATGACATTGCTTAGAGAGGCTCAGGAGAGCATGCAGTACAATTCCATGATTCACTACAAGGGATTATGATTGGGGCAACAGTTCCTAAACAATAACAGGATTCAATGCCAGAATTCTGCAGCTCCTGAAGCAGCTTAGTAGGTGGATGTAGGTGCATTACATCCAAACAAGGATAGCAGTAATGCCTCACACACAAAGTGCAATTATTTTGTGTTTGACAGAAGGATCCATATCTTCCTCATGCAACTTACATCATCCTCTTTTGTACCGCCCCAAAAGTTAGTTCCTCCGGCATAGCTGGGAATGTTTAATACAGCAATGCCCTGAAGACTAGGTAGGGGAATGTATTGTCCATCACACTGTAAAACACAAAACAAACTGGGTGAAAAAAGAACACTGCCTCGTTCAACAGTTAAATAATGCATGTCCATTCTTCCATTCTATTCAATTGCAGTTGGGAGAGGTAACAGTGAGATGTCTCTCAGCAGTGCTGTTGATCTCTTTTCCTGAAACTGAAAAATGCATTAAACAATGAAGTGAGTCAAGTCATAAAAATCGAGCCAACTAAACAGCCTGGCATAGAGCAGATGAAATTTAATGCAGAGAAGTTGAAAATTATGCATTTTGGGAAGAACAGCAGAGGCATCGTGAACAAAATTCAGAGAATCAAAGAATCCGTGTAGTGTGGAAGCAGGCCTTCAGCCCATTGAATCCACACCGACCCTTCGAAGAGTATCCCACACAGATCCCCCACTGTATCCCTGTAACCTGACATTTTTCCATGGCTAATCCACCTTGCTTGCACATCCCTGGACACTATGGACAATTTAGCATGGCAAATCCACCTAACCTGCACATCTCTGGACTGTGGGAGAAAATTGGACACCCGGAGGAAACCCACGCAGAACAGGAAGAATGTGCAAACTCCACACAGACAGTCACCTGAAGGTGGACTCAAACTTGTGTCCCTGGCGCTGTAAGGCAGCAGTGCTAACCACTGAGCCACCATGCTGCCCCAAAATTCTGAAGGACTCCAACAACAGAAAGACCAGGGCTGTCCGTACCCATGGAGCAAATTGTGACATCTGCTAGAAAAATGTATTGAGTGTATCACTTTACTAATAGAGTCTTAAATTAGTGAGAAAGTTGTAACAACCTTTTGTAAAACACTAGTTAATCCTCAGATCGAGTACTTAATTCTGGGCATTGGACTTTCAGAAGTATGTCAATGCTTCTGAAGAAATTTACTGGAAGCAGTAGCAAAAAACAGGGATGCAACGAGAACATTCTGCAGATGATGGGTTTGTTCTCTGTAGAGCAGAAAACAAAATCAAGAAATTACAGAAGTGTTCAAAATAAGGAATGGTTTTGATACAGTAAGAAAAGTAAAACTGTTGGCTTTGGCAGATGGGTTGACAGTCAGATGGACACCAATTTAAAGGTGACTAGTAAAAGAATATGAGGTGAGATGTAATAAATTTATTTTGCAGAATCAGTTGTCATCTACAGTGTACCTGCTGAAAGGTTAGTGGAAGCAAATTCAACACTAACTTACAAAAGGTAAAGATCAAGCGCAAGACACTAATTGAACATCTTTGCCAATACACTAAACAGTGTCATTCTACAATACTACTCTGATGCGCTTAACAGGAATGATATAAAATATGGTTGACAATAAATCAATGTCTAAACCAGCTTTCAAAATGCTTCCAAAGACAATGTAGTGCTGAAGTTCCAAGGAGCCAGACATTTAAAATTATCTTAAGGCAAGTTTGAATGGATCAGCAATTTATGTCAATCTGCATCCACAAGATACTTTCACATTTTGGACCAGGACTCAAAATAACTGGAGAGAGATACCAACACATACGATTATATATATTTATATACAAATAGTCAGATAGACCAAACAGTGTTCTTGTAACTAGGATAATTCAATGGAGGAGTATTATTATGAATACTTTAGTTTTAAGAGGCCAGCAACTTAATACTCAGTTCCACTCTCATTTGCTCTCATTCGCTGAATGAAGATCTCCCGAATATACCATTGTATTAGCATCTGAATCAGCATTCTGGACACGAGATTGTGAATGCAGTTTTAACGAAGTGACATGGACCGACCCTTCAATAATAAAGGCCTTGCCTCCACAGTTCAGTCACACCTGACTACGGACTTATATTAGCACCATCATAAAATTTTATAACCCATACCAACAATTTAGAATTGGAGACCAAAGACATGATAGTTACATTTGCTGATGACACCAAGCTAAGTAGGAAAATAAGATGTCAAGCACAGATACAGTGTCTGCAAACTGTTGGGTTAATTGAATGGGTAAAAAATTAGCAGATATTTGCCAATAACGTGGCAGATATTTACCCATAATTTAAATGGAGAGTGACTGCATGACTTGATGGTACAGAGGGATCTCAGTATCCTGGTACACAAGTCACATCATCATTATATAGATATAGCAAATATTTCGGAAGGCAAATGGAATTTTGTTTATTTCAAGAGGGGTGGAATATAAAATTATGGAATTATTGCAGCGCCTTCACTTGTTTCTTGATGTAACATGGTGTGAGTTGAATTGGATGAAAACTAGCATCTGCAATTCTGGAGACTTCAAGAGGAGGCCAAGATGGATCCTTCACTCGGCAATTCTGGCTCATCTATTGTACTGTTGTGTCGGGTTCCACCATCCTTGACAATGTGGGCATTTGTGGAGGCTTCTGTTCCATTGAGCTGTTTAATTTCTGCCAAAATTCGCAGCAGGGCTGTAGGGCTTTGGTTGTGGGATCATTTTGCATTGTATTGTATGCTACTTCTGCTGTCTGACATGCAAGTAAGTCTGTGCTGTAGCTTCACTAGGTTGACATTTCATTTTCAGGTATGCTTACTGCTGCTCTTGGCATGGCCTCCTACAGTTCCGTTGAACTAGGGCTGATTCCATTGCTTGACAGTAACAGTAGAGTCATGGATATGTCTAGCCATGAAGTTACAGATTGTATCTTAGTACAATTCACCCCACAGTGCCTCATGGATATCCAGTTTTGAGTTGCCAGAGCTGATAAAATCTATCCTATTCAGCAAAGGTGGCAGAACCACAGTACGTGACCAAGAAATATGCAGTGGTTGATCTCACCAATACCGCCATGGAGAGGTATTTGCAATGGGGTGATTGGCAAGAAGAAGATCAAGTGGGATCTTCCATCTTGTTGGTTCCCTCACGTGCCTGGTCTGGTAGATGTATCTTTCAAGAATTGACCTGCTTGGTAGTAGTTGTGCAATTAAGCCACTGAGTGATTGATAGGAGCTTCAAATTTTGTCCATAGGGTCTGGGCCGTGGGGTGGCCGTGACTGTGAGTCAGGCAGGTAATAAGCTAGAAGTGAAGGAGACTCAGTTCTTGCAATTGTCCACAAGTTTGAGATTCTTGCAGCTTGTATGGACAAGAATGAGGCTGCAGGGTGGATGAACAGACTGTCCATCACACCATAGCACAAGGAACCATTCAAGCTGGGAAGTGAATAAAAATGTTTTTGTAATAGGAAACAACGTAGTCAGGATAGAACAGTTCTCTAAAGCGTGAGAGATTGGGTCGAGAACTCTATGTTGTGCATCCAATGCCAACATTTGGGGGATCAACTGGGAACTGAAGAGGAAGCTGCTGCTGGAGGATCCAGTGGTCCTGGTTTAAGTGGGTAAAATGGCATAGATAAAACTAGGAAAGGAGTTCTGCTTAGGGAAAAAGAAGAACTAGGGGCTAAATTACACAGCAGAAACTCAAAGTTAACAATCTCTGGGTTATTATTTGAGATGTCTAATTGCAAAGGGCAAATAAGCATAAGTAGAATGTGTATCTTAAAGATAGGTGTGGGAGAAGTGGGTTTGGTTCATGGGGAACTGGTATCAGTACAAATGGGAGCTGTATCATTGGGATGCCTTCACCTGAACCATGCTGGAAGAGGTGCCTGGCCAAGTCATATAACTACGGCAGTAGGGTGGGCTTTAATGTGCATGAGTGATCACCCGAGGAGAGATGTGGTATAACTAACAGAAAGGGCTAAGCAATAGAGCAGAGTAACAATAACCAGAGTGTGGCAAGAAGGAACAGACAGAACAAACCTAATAGTGCACCATCAAATAAGGCTAGAGGTTGCAAGAATAGAAAGAAGTCTGAATTAAAGGCTCTGCATGTGAAAGTGTGGACCTTACATAATAAAACAGATTAACTGACAGCACAATTAGAAATAAACATATATGACCTGATTGATAGCCATTTCAGAGACATAGTTACAAGATTACCAAGGCAGGGATCTAAATGTTAATTGGACAAATTTTAGAAAGCAGTAAAGAATGACTAAACAGAATTGGGGAAGAAATGGAGTATGATCGAGAGATAGCTTGGGAATGTAAAATCTTTCAAAAAGGAAAAGAATAACTGCATAGAACACTGGTTCCAACAGGATGAGGCTAGAGAATTTCACATCTGGCTTCACTGTAGAAGACACAAATCATGTACCGTGAAAACTTGAAAATCGAGAGGGCCAAGAACAGGAGGAATTAAAACAATCACATTTGGGGTACCAGTAAAACTACCAGACCTAAAGACTGACAAGTCCCCTTGACCTGGTGGTTTGCATCTCAGGATATTAACAAAAGTAGCTGCAAAGATAGTAAGTATGTCAATTATGATCTTCAAAAACATCCTATATTCTTGAAAGGTTTAAGCAGATTATAAACTGCAAGTGTGACATGTCCATTCAAGCAAGAAAGGAGACAGAAAGCAGGAAACTAGGCCAGTTATCCTAACATTTGTCATATGAAAATTTGAGAACCCATTATTAAGGAGGCAATAGCTACATTATTCACGGAGTTGCTATGAAGATGCAGCAAAAGATTAAGAAGGCAATGTAATGTTTGCATTTATTGCAAGGGGAAGCAAGTATAAAACAGAGAAGCAATACTACAGTTGTACAGAGCACTGGAGAGACCCAGCTCTGGAGCAGATTCATAGATTCATGCAGCACAGAGAAGGCCCGTCGGCCCACCAAGTCTGCACCAAAAACAGCTACCACTAAAGGCACGTGAATGCTAATTTCCTGCACCTGTCCCATATCCTTCAATGTTATGCTATTTCAAATGCTCATCCAAATATCCTTTAAAGATTGTAAGGGTTCCGGACTCCACTAACTTCCCAGGCAGTACATTCCAGATTCCCACCACTCGCTGAGTGAAAAATGTTTTTCCCAAATCCTCACTTAATCTCCTGCCCCTCACCCTAAAACCCCTGCCCCCTTATGATTGACCTCTCAACCAAGGGGAACAGCTGCTCTCTATTCGCCCTGTCCATACCC